AATGTCGGCGCTCATTTATGGCTTGAAACCTTGGCCTTTCAAGCGCTCATAGTCAGCTTTCACATTGTCCATGGCTCGGTGGAGTCCACTTGAGGTCAAGTTTATATCTACCGCGCCATCCCTCCTACAGCATTCCTTCTGCAATCATGAGTGTCACTGATGAGCATTTTCTTAGCTCTTCTTTCGCCTCAAACCTGACCATGCCCTGGTCAGTGGTAATTCGAGAGCAGTAATGAACATACCATAGGGAATAGTAGAGGTTGACCTCCTAACACCTCTAAGCCATAACGAGCGCGCAATCAAATGTCTCCACGAAGTCCAGCAAAGATGAACGCCTGGCGTATACCAAAGCAATTTGTCAACAAATATGTTTTCTCCTTACCACTGGCGCACAGCAATTATTTATCTTCAATGTAATATTTCCTGGTCGATGTGGACTTTTTGTGTTCCCTTAAACTTTCTGATTTATTCGCTCAGCTTTATGCCACATTTTTCTTGATTTACGGCCGAGATTACCAAAAAATACCTATGGCGATTAACATGTGATTTAGTGGTGTTGATTTCAGGTTGAAAGCGCGGCTCGCATTGAGGTATACCCTCTTAGCGCGCCAGAGGATCGAGCCAAAGAGCAGCAACTTAGACAGCAGCAACAGGTCAGTACATTCTCATTTTTCCAGCCAGTTGCGAGGGTTGGCAGAGGTCGAGCTGTCTGCTTGACTGCAGTTGATGCATTTGTTTACGATTAGTTTTACCAATTATTCGCTTCGTGTTTATTGGATGGCCTCCTTCACGGCGCCTAGGGTATGCAAGGGTTCGCAGTTGTTCAACCCAGGGTTTAAAAGAAGGGCTCAGTGTAATGAGGAAGTGTGGAGGAGAGGGAGGGGGGCGGTGAAAGGGTTTCAAATTGAGTATTCTGGTGGAAAAACTACGAAGCTGTATGAGAGCTGGGAACAAGCACCAGAGAATAGGCCGGGTTTTCCCATCGAAGTTTCGGACCAAAAAGGAAAATCCAGTTTTGAATTTAAAATTCAAATTCTGCATGCTAACGCCGAGTTCAGTGTACTGGATCGGTTTGGAGTAGCTTCCTTATTATAGGTCTTTCGAAGAACTAGCATTAAGGGAAGTGGATAAACAGGTTACGGTGAGGTATCTAATGCCCTCGTAGTCACCCAGGGCCGTATCTTATCCTTCTCCAGGGGACCCCGCCCCGCCGCTGTTCCTATCCTATGCTTGGGGGAGACAGGGTTGCGTCATAGGACCCGCCATTGAACGCGTGATGTTGTAGCTACCCTCCCTGTTGAGGCACTCTTTTCTCTGAGGGGTCGCGCTGTCTGGAGTCTAGAAAAGCACGAGGCACGTATGGCTGGTCCTCCCAACCGATAAGGTAGGATCAGCTCGGGAGGACGCGGCCCACCGGGAAAAGGTGGGATAGCGGCCCAATCAATGGAGGTGCCTCTGCTCGTCTGCCTTGGCCACGTTGCCTCTTTACTTGCCAGACATTTCAATCTCTGGAAATGCAAAGAGAAAGGACTTTTCTCCGTATTTCCGCAAAAGCTGTCCCCACTTTTGACGGAGAGGGTAAGGGTGAGATGTTACGTCCTATCACTCCACTGCCACGCCTTTTCCGTTCCTCACTTCTATTTTCCCATTATTTTAGCGTATTCTGAAACAGTTCTTAGATTTCTGACACCTAATGCTAAATGGTCGACTCCTCGTTGCATTCCGGTCACTATTTGTATAATAGTCTTATTTATCTCAGAATAAGATCAAGTAGGAGTTCAAACTCAGGCAAAGAATTGGGCGCCTCAGACGATTTAGAGCCATTTGGTGATTCTCGTCCGGGCAATGACGATGGAAGCGATCTTAAACATTGTTGGTTTATTGCGTTACAAGTTACAACAGGTGTTCCGTGGACGTGCAGCAGAGGGGTTACCTGCTGGGTACATGCGTGGGTGTATCCAGTCTACTTTGAACATCTGGGCTTTATAGCCTTGGTAACGACCCAGATGCTTTCGATTGGGTCATTCATATTAGCACCACTCGAAAAACTGCCAGTTCGGTATACGTTGTGGAGCGATTACTCTTCAAGAAGAAGCGCACTGAAATTTTTCCGAACTACTCTTTGCTCGAGTCCTTTTCACTCCAAGAGCATATTGCTTCCCTCAGCTTCTTCCTTATAACATTTCAATGAATTTTATAATTACTACTATATAATTACTGCATGAGCACCGCCTGAGTACGAGCTTGTTTTCAGTATCTCCAACAGCAACTTCGATACGAAAAGGCGCTTGAACGGGAACAAATCGAAAGAAAAGCTCGAGAAGAGGAGAATCTTCTGATACGAGAAGAGCAGGAGAGGCTCAGACGACTCTTCGAACGAGAGCGCGCCGAGAGGGAACGTCTCGAGCAGATTCGTCGTCGAGAAGCCGAAGAACGTGAACGTCTTCTGCGCCAACATCGACTCGACGAACAGGATCGTTTAAGGCGAATCGAAGAAGAGAAACGTCTTCGACAATTGCAGGTAGGAATTCGTCATGGCTCGAGCTGCCGTACTGGCATGCTTTCATCTCCTTTTCATTCCTTTCTTTGCTCATTTCTCCTACTGCATTCCATCATTCCTCTGCACAGCCTACCCATTCCTGCCATAACTATCAATTAATCTTACCAGGTTTCCAACTTACCAGAAGCAGGGATAGCCGAGTGGTTAAGAGTATAGGCTCATATCTGTACCTCTGAAAGCCGGCCCCGGACCTCGCAGGGGTGCGGACCAACACACGATTCGCATCGAAGGATATGCCCCTAGCTTAGCTTTACCTTTGGCGCAGTTGGCACGGAACGCCCACCGACTATCTAATCACTTGCCGGAGATGTATATTCCAATAAGCTAACCTTCGTCGTGAATCTGCCTTTAGGAGCCAGTGTTCAAGCTAAGACGTTACTTAGCAGATCCTGCGACGGCGCGGGAGCGCTAATGCGAGAAAGAAGGTTTCCGTCTTATCACCTGCTGGGTGGTCCTAAAAGTCTACTTTGGTATTTTCCTGTGCCGTCGAGGCTGTTGGATGAAACTCTTAGCTCGGGCCTGAAATTTTGGACCGTTTGAATCCCTCGAAGGCCAGGTCAACCACTGGGCGGCCGGAGTAGCGTAAATCCTACAGCCATAGACCGGCTCTTGAGGAAAAGGATCTCGTCGGGTCGTTCGGCCTTGATGGGCGCTCCATCCAGCGAGCTTGTCGGCACAAGAAAAGTATCGCATCAAAATCGATGCCGAGGTTTTATGAGCAGGATGGTTGGATGCAATTCCTGGAAGCTTTTTGCTTCAGCTCTCGTCAATGCTTCACGACTGACATATTGCAGTAATGCAAAGTGGAATGTTCTCTCCGAGGTGGTCGTCCCAGAATCGCCAACGGGAATAGCTTGGAGAGGAATACTGCGTCTTAGCTTTCCTCTTATTATTCCTTCGGGAGCCATACCTGAAGAACCCTTCTTCCCCTAATCAAAAGCCCTTCCTGGTCTTCTTCTCATCTCTCTCCTGGTCGAGAACTCGGATTCAGAGCAGTGAAGCTGTACCTTCCTCGAATTTTAAACCCCTCCTGTGATAGCTCTTTTCATTGCGCAACCTCCATCGAGAAAAAGCTGAGTATTTTAGTGGAGTCAGCCGTACCAACTGCAATATCCGCCCCAGCAGCAACAACAACAGCAGCAGTACTGGAATCAAGATCCATGTGAGTGTTACGAACATCCATCATTCCTTTTTCTGCCGTTCTTCCTCTGATCCCAGGCGAAACGTGACTTTCTCACTGGTGGATAAGTGGGCAGAGCGCTGCCGGCTTGTTTAATTTCTCTGTTTCGATTTTTAGATTCACGTAACGCTCAACAGTACGTTCCATCTTCTACACAAGAAGTCTTATACGATCAGCAAACCTTCGTTCAACAACATCCGCCACAACCTGCACCCAGGGTTAGTCTTTATCTCATAATATCCGGTAATTTCATTTGACTTAACTGAATTACTATTGGCCTGGGGTGGCAGTGACTTCAGCTGGCTCATACCATTCGCAAGGTTGAGCCTAC